TGGGGGCAAGAATCGCGCCAGTCTCATTGCCGGGGAATGCGGTATGTGCAACCAAGAAGATACCTTTTCTAGTCTTGGGGTGGACTCTGTGGACAGTGATGAACTCACCATCGTGATGGATGTGGGTTTCGTCATAGCCTTCAACTCCCATCATTGTGTGAAGCTCATTCAGAAGCTTCTTGACGCCACCAATCCCACCCTCTCCAGATCCAACGACCAGACTCTCGGAATCAGAGGAGTGGGAGACGTATTGTCGAGTCTCGTGAACGAGATCGATGAGTTTGGGATAAACCTCATCGTAGCCCATCACACTTCCAGTCGCAGAGGCACACATTGCCACAAGGGCAGCATTTGGAAGAGTGTCCCTGGCATCGCGCTTCTGAGCAGGTAGTTCATTGTCATGGGTACAGTCCATGAACAAGGCCGGCACTGGACAGGGCCGAATATGAGTGATATTTTCGTCAGTCTTGCCAGACCTAGCTGATGCAATGGCATGACTACTGCCAGCAGAAGGTAAATCCATCTCGAAACTACCGATCGGCTGACCACCATGACGGTGCACTAGGCGACTCAGCTCTTCTGTGCTCCAAGCCTGCATGGCCTCGCGAATCAGAGCATTGATGCCCAAGCGTTTGACGAAGACATAGTCAGCCTCTTCCGAGCCCGTGAAGAGTTCCGCAAACACAGTCAAGTCGGGCCGAACTTTGCGAGCTTCATCCAGCAGATATTCTGCAACCACTAGTGGCGTCGAATGGCAATTATCAATGCGGAAGCCACCGAAGTACTTGGCCATAAGGCGGGTATACTGCGTCATAAAGTCCCAGAGGAACGGACTGTCTTCGGGGGAGGATCCGTATCGAAGCTTTACGCAATCACCCCACACAATAACTTCGCGGCGTAGGTAGGCCCTGGAATCGGGGCCGGCATTATCTTTCATGGCATCAGCATTCCAGATCCAACCATTATTGACCAAAGCCAGGGCTTTGGGGTTGTGCTTCTTCGTGACATCATTGAGAGGAAGGCGAGTAAAGTAAGTCTCGATCAATGGGTTTTCCTTGGTGACAGGACCCATTTTAGGACCATGGTCCTCAACTCTGAGATACTTGATGCGATTGAACAGTTGATCCATAATAGCGTCAACGTCTGCATCATACTCCTTGTAGAATGGCAAGTTGGCTTCATCGAGGAGCTGGGTCAAGGAAGCTTCAACCTCGGCGAGGTTGGTATGTCCCTCATCGTAATCCCCAAAAAGGACATTCAAAGCAACTGCTCCAAACTTTGGGTCTACAGCCCGACCAAACCGTCCGAGAACCTGCTTGACGGATGGGATTCCAATCGAGCGGAGAACATTAGCTTGTTGCGTGAGCGACCAGCCTTTAAACTGCTGCATCTCTTCCCGTTCGACGAGGGCAGGATCGATGTTTGCATTTATCCACTCATCCAAAATCTTCTTGACGTTGCTCTTTACGTCGAGAACATAAAACTCCCATAGACGGATACCATCAATGGCTTCCTTGCGTGCCGCATTCATGACGGTCACCAGATCTTCCTCGGTTTTGAATTCCGTCGGAAGACCGACATCTTGGAGGCTATCACCGAATTTTAAAAGCGCCGAGTCCAGCTCGAGAGCTGCCTCCAGCCATGGCGCGGTCTCCACGCTGTATCCAGACTCGGGATGCTCCTCCAGCCACTTGCTATTATGAGCTGTGTGATTCCAGACCACATCAGTCAACGTGAGAAGGCCATAATCTTTCTCCATATTCGCGACTAATGAGGCGATATCATCTTCTCCATTAGGGAAAAACTCGCTGTCGAACGCCAATTGATCAAAAATACTGTAGGGCGAGTTGGACGCGCCACGCTGCATGAGAGGTGTGAAATGAACCATGTTGTAGTTCCGCTGACCAATTCCTCGAAGGTGTCTGTCCCAGTCTGTGGGATATTGGCCCATGAACTTTGAGATCACCGAAAAAATAGAGAGTGCATTGAGCGGCAAGTCTTTCTCCTGAAGGGTAAGTTTGGGCGACACATCAATGTAGTGAACAGGTGTCTGAGTCGGGTTTGGAGCGGACACCTCCTCGACTGAGAACTCTGGTAGCGGAGAAAATGTGGTGTAGAAAGCAAACGCTCCGGCGAATGTAACGGGGATATCGATCTGAATGTTCTCATTGAAGTTGGGTTGCAGTCTACTTCTGTTCAGTAACCGCCAGTCTCAATCTAGATAGCATATAAGAACTGGGAGGATCTACCTGAACTCCCGGAATGAGTAACGTTCAAAGGGCTTTCCCTCCTCGGGAATATTCACCCAGAGACTACCTTGTCGGCAAATGGAGCTCGTTCCCTCGATGATGAATCGAAGCACGTATCCAGATTTTGGCGGCGGGGCCAGGTAAATGTATCCACCGGGTACGTCTGGAGAACCATCATCCTTCAATGGAAGCAAGTAGACCTGACGTGGGGAGGCCATTGCGATGGGTCGATAACGATTGGATGAATCCGGATCTAAACCAACGGATCGTGGGTGTACAAAAGAATCTAGAACAATTCACCCTACTTTCACTGCGATAGTGAAGAGAACAGAGAGGTGAGACAAGGGGGAATATTTAAAGAAAAAAAAATTGAATTGAAAAGCAGGGAAGGAGAAGTCGGGGATAGAGGACCCAGCGTTCCCCTCATATGTTCCTGGAGAAAGCCCAGACCGCGCGGGGAATGACATCATCGATTTTCCTTGGTATTTTGAGCTGTCAACACATCAACACATCTACTTTGTACACACCTACGTCGACGTACATCCAACGGAGCTGGATCATGCATGAATCGAACAGTCTTAGATTCAAATCAAATGTCTAGAATATAATCCGCATGCAGTTCATTAATACAGGTCATGAAAGTCTATACAATGTCCAATGCCCAATCCCAGCCCTAATTATAATCGTGCAGCAATGAACCGAGCGCCATTATCCTCGCCATTGGAAATTTTTGATGCAGAAATCGGGGTTCGGGCCTGAGGGGGGCTATAACGGAACCAAACGTTCTGATAAGTAACACAAACATAGAAGCAAAGGACACTAGAAGGGACTTTTTTTTACCGCTCAATGTAAGAAGGAATCTCCTCGACCTTCATGGTTCCCTCCAAAACACCTGTGAAACGTTAGCTTGGGTCGAGTGGTCACACGGGAGAGGACAGGAGAGAAATCTTACGGAAAACAGCAGTGAACAGAGGGAACTCATGCTCCATGCCCTGGTTCTTCAGGAAGCTGTTGACTTCCACAGCAGTCAGGGTACCCTGCAACTTCTGACCGTTGAGCTCAGTCCTCTCGATCTCCTCGATAGGTTGGTTGCGCTCAACGCTGTACTTTGCACACCGGAAGTTACGACCACCGCTGGAGCTGGTGATCAAGTCTGCCACACCGGCACTCTCATCGGTAAAGGTGCGGTTGTCAATTGTGGCGCTGAAGAACGTGTCTCCGAACTTGACCATCTCCATCAAGCCCACGCGCATAATAGCAGCCTTAGCGTTATCACCCCATCCCATTCCGACAACCCAGCCAGCGGCCAGAGCAACAACGTTCTTAAGAGCACCACTGATAGACACACCGGCAACATCGTTGACAACACGCACGTGGAAGTAATGGCGGTGGAAGAGGGTCTTCAGCACGGCATGGTCGACGGGAGGGTATTCTGAGGGCAGGGCCTGCAATTTGACCTCCGAGATTTGACCCGAGGTGTCCTTGTGCTGGAACTCCACCAAGTTGGTTGTGGAGGAAGAAGGCGATCGCTGGGGAGTGGGCACCTGGGAGTCCATGTGTGGGGGATCATAGGCGACGCTGGTCTCGGACCACTTCTCTTGGGCGACCTCATTGGCGATGTTTGCGCCAGACAGGGCACCACAATAGATGCCAAGGATTCTGCCAATGGTCTCGGAAAAGAGGTGAATACCTGTTCCGTTGACGTCCACGCCCTTAATGCAGGAGATACCACGTGCGTAGGGGAGGATCTTGCCCTTGATTTGTTCGCAGGTCTTAATGATGAATTGATGAGGCAGGTTGAAGATGAGAAGTGTGCTGTCCTTCACCGCATCCTCCAGGGACGGGTTGGCGTGCAGGTTGACTGGCAACTGGATTCCAGGGAGGTACTTGACATTCTCATGGACATTGTTAATCACCTCGGTCAATTTTTGAGGCCCAGTGTTTGAAGCATTGTAGTTTTTAGAAGTCTTCGGAACCTCAACATTCTCCTCGAATACCCACATCTCCACTTTCTCCTCAAAGAGATCAGGGTTGCTGGCCGCATTTTCGGCAACGATCTTGGCGATGGCGCAGCCCCTATCGAGTAAACACAATTAGCACAAATCCAGAGTCCTGCTAGGGGCTGATCTTTTACCAATTACCGGAGCCCACCACCGTGATCTTGTGCTTGCGCTGATAAGGAGCGATAGAACCCATGATGTTTGCAGAAGACACGATTGATCTGCGGGAAAGAGGTCCGGAGGAGGTGGGTTTAAAAGGTAATGAAGAAATCGGTGGGGGCAAGGGTGGAATTATGAATCGGGTCTGGAACCGGGTGGCTGGCCGGGCGAGTGACCGAGGTCGAAATGCGGTATAGGTGTGAGGAACGCAGATCCGACGTAGGTTGAGACGTATATCCATACAAGTTATCGTGTTGGGGCCCCCAATGATTTTCGGCCTTTTCGGGTTTGCCTTCTGACCACGATTTCTGATGTCACCGGAGAGGCAATTTAGCACACGAGAACTTTGATAACGTCAGTCAAAGCGGACTTTTGATTTTCTTTTTTTTCTTTTTCTTTTTCTTCTTTTTTGCCTTTTTGACACACGCATGGACTAATTGTAATTGATCGGAAGAGCCAAACAACGTTGAGTTCCTGGAAAAAACAGTGGGGAGAGTGGATTCAGGCGGTGAACAATTGTAGTCGGGGCTTCGCTTTTCCCGTCGCAATTTCGTCTTTTCGTTGCTCCCCACTGTAGATCTCACATGCCAACATGGTAAGCGCAATTATCACTTATCTTGTTCCACTTTCAGCCGGTTAATTATCGTTTTATCTTCACAGGCTCCCATCCGCAAATCAACAACGAAAACTGCCTCGGGCAGAGGCGTGATAGCCAAACCCAGTGTCTTCGGTGACGAATTTCGCACGAGCAAGAGGGATAAACGTCAGATCAAGCATGCTGCCCTCGTGTCTAAAATTGAGAAAAATTCTCAGAAGACTCCCAAGCGTCGACGAGCATCAAAAAAACTTGTCGCCAACCTCGAATCTTTGGCCGATGCCTTGCCCGAGGCTGAAGAATCCAACGATGCCGCCAGTCAGGTGAATGTGATCAAACAGAAGACTTTGAGACACAAGCCGGGTGCCTTGAAGCGCCGGGAAAAACTCGAGAAATTGGAGCGAGACCGCTTCAACAAGAACCTGACCGAGATGTCCAACATCACATCAGCCCCGGTTACCAACAATGGCGAGGCGAGCACCGAGTCGAACCCGACGGCCGGTCGGTGGTCGGCTCTCCGTAACTTCATTTCACAGACGATGGAGCAACAGCCTGTGTTCAAGGCGAATAAATAAAGGGTGGCCAGAATGAAAATAAAGATTTCTCAGTCGGTGACCGAGCCACCACTGTGGTTGCTGTTAGCCGTGAACATTTGTCTGACAACTGAATTCCGGCAACAACGTGGAAAAAATGCACCCAGAGACTATCCTCAAATTTGAGTTTAGGCGAACAAATTGGAGTGCACGCGCTCAACCAAAGCACGATCGAACCACTTGCTTCTATTGGATCTGGACGGTGAATTCTACACCCGATTCCAAGCAGGTCTTGCGATTCAAGTATCCCTCTATTCCTGGGGTATAAAACGCCTTCCGGGGCCACGGACGCCATCGAATAGCCCTCAACATTAGAAACCAATAACCAAATACCCATCGTTATCATGAAAGAGCTGCATATATCTTACTTTTTTACTCTATTTCTGCCCGCAGGAATCAAACCTGGATTTACAACAACTTAAATAATGAAAGCTGGGTTTCTAGCCAGCTTATGTTCTCAAGCACATTCCCGCATACTTCCAATCCTGGCCGCTCAACCCTTTCCGGGAGATCAAAAGTCCCATCAAGTCCCATCGGGTTCCATACCTGTGTAGATATGTAGAGATGAGGACCTTTGTCTCCTCGGAATGATTGGTGAAACTCAGACTCCTACACATGTGACGTCGCCCTCCACATATCGAACTAGAGGGATTCGACATTGGGATCATTGTTGACGGCATACTGCTGTCTGGCCTTGAGTTGTGTTAGTGGTCCAGCCTCGTGCAATTGCCAAATCGGTAATGGGTTGATAGCGCTTTCGATTTTGTTGGTGTGAGCTGTAACTGCTCATTTGCCACCACATGACTGCATCCCCATGGGCCATATTTGAAACTATTGGAGGATAACACCAGGAGTTGCTATGTATGAACCATTTTCTAAGGGCCCGTGGTAATCTCTCACCGAATATTGGACACGACACTTGTTGGATATTAGTTCCCTATGTTAATATGGAGAATTATAGATCTAGTTCCCCAAATATAGCTCTCGATCTTCTTTAATTGTATCATCAACATAAACTACTACATCAGTTGAATTTACCCGTGAATAGCCGGACCACCTGTTCATCGGCCAGATGACTCATCAGATAAGATCACCTGCGGGGAAAGCTATCCGGTATCTGATCCATCGCTCTCCAATCCCCCGAGATCCTTCCTTTACTTTGTAACTGCAGGGCTCTTTATCCGCCTCTCATAAACCCCTTGTGACTTACTGGCGCCCAGCAATGCTGTGGCGGCATTTCCAGCGTCGCCTCCCGGCCACCTTGGCTCGTCGTGGCATTCTCCGGTGTCGGCTTCCCCAATTATATAGCGGGTCAGCACGCCAACTGTCTAGCTCCTCCACCACATTTCCGACATGGTCGCAATTCAATCGGTCAGAATTCACAAGTCAACCGTTTACCGGTAGCTATGAAACAGGAGGTCCTACTCGCGGCCCATTGGGATCAACACCGGCCTTTGGCGCCCCCCGCATCACACCGAAAGTCTTAAAGCAATATCTCGATCAATATGTCGTCGGTCAGGATCGTGCAAAGAAAGTGCTCAGTGTCGCCGTGTACAATCACTACCAGCGCGTGCAAGAGTTAGTGCGCCGGGAGGAAGAAGCAGCCGAGGCTCTCGCGAAGCGCCAGCGGAGGGAAGCACTTGAGATTCATCCCTTAGACGGTATATTACCTATTGATTTTGGATGCATCGCTCATTTTCTGATTTATTCTTCCATACAGCAGATGATATTACAGGCGCACAGAAGTCTGCCAGCATACCTCAACCCCCCAAATCCCGCTCAAACACCCCATTGGAGCAAGCAGATTTCGCCGATACGTCGCCGCTACACCTTGAAAAGTCCAATATTTTGTTACTTGGTCCGTCCGGTGTAGGAAAGACACTTATGGCGAAAACTCTTGCTCGGGTTCTTTCTGTGCCTTTCAGTATTTCCGACTGCACGGTGTTCACCCAAGCCGGTTACATTGGAGAGGACGCGGAAGTGTGTGTTCACCGACTTTTGGCAGCTGCAGACTACAACGTGGAGCAGGCAGAGCGTGGAATTATTGTCCTTGACGAGGTGGACAAGATCGCAGCTGCGAAGGTTAGTCATGGCAAAGATGTCGGTGGTGAAGGAGTACAGCAGGCGCTTCTCAAGATCATTGAAGGCACAACCGTGCAGGTCCAGGCCAAGCCAGAGAAGAATCCCCGCGCAACTAGTGCCCCGAATAGCTTTCCCTCCAACAGTCCCTTGGGAAATGGGTCATTCCATCCCAACAACCCTAACCCAGCCGCGAAGGGAGAAGTGTACAATGTGCGCACTGACAATATTTTGTTCGTGTTCTCTGGCGCCTTCGTTGGATTACACAAGGCTATCATGGATCGAATATCCCGTGGATCAATAGGCTTTGGTCAGCCAGTTCGGCCCGCCTCAAACAGTAGTGATTTCCCTGGCTCGCCAAATATCTCCGCCAACCAGCCACTTCCAATCCTCCCAGGGTCTGAAGAAGAAGCGCTGTATAAGAAGCACCTCCCCTTCTTCTCCTCTGCCTCGCCAGCCGGTTCTGGTGCCGAGCCAACCTATTTCAACGCACTCGACCTCTTAACACCCTCAGATCTGCAAAGTTACGGCTTCATCCCTGAGTTAATCGGCAGGATTCCCGTCACCGCTGCTCTCTCTGCACTGTCTCAACCCTTACTTATGCGCATCCTAACCGAACCCCGCAACTCCCTTCTAGCCCAATACACAACCCTATTCTCCCTCTCGGGTATCGAGCTGCGCTTTACCACACCGGCACTCCACAAAATCGCCGGCAATGCCTTCACAATGGGCACCGGCGCACGTGCGCTGCGAACTGAGATGGAGACCATCCTCAGTGACGCCATGTTCGAAGCTCCCGGCTCGAGCGTGAAATTTGTCCTCGTGACCCAGGCTGTGGCTGAGCGCAAGGAACAACCCATCTACCTTGCTCGTGGACAGGGCGGGCGTTTCCATGCTATGATTTCCGCCGAGGAAAGCCAATGGGAAGCAAAGACTCGCGGGGAAAAGAAAGACCAGGATCAAAAGACTAAGACGCAAGACGATCAGGATGGCTCCAATGCGTCGAACTTCGAGGAGTACCAGAATCGAGCGACTGGTTAAGTGTAAATAACTTGTATGCTTTCATCTCATATTTTTTATCTTTCTAGGTGTTGTTCTTTGTCATAGTTGCATTGGCGGCAATTAGCGTGCAGTTTAACGAACTATACTTTTGGAAATTCCGAATGTTCGTATGATAGGTCTTCCATTACTGATCAGAAATTGGATCTCAATTTTAATGCGATTGGACGAAACTAGTATATGTGACTACGAGTCTCCAAGGTAAACTTTCATAGAATTTGGATTCATTTCATGGCCTCGTAGATTTCTAGGCATAACATGTACAAGAGCAAACTAATGGGGTATCATAAAAGACTGTGCAGGAAGAGGAAGGGGAATATGAGGACAGGGATGACCTACTATGGTCGGAACTTTGCAAAGATCACTTGTATGGAGCAGGGTACTTGTTCGTGCCATTACCGTTGGGACTGCCCGTGAAGGTAGACTGAATAGCGGCGTTGGAGTTGTGAGATGTCCAATTAGGCGTCTGGGGTGTGGCCACGGCCAACGGGGTAGCTACTTGGCTAGTACCAGAAGGGCGTGCCTTGGAAACACCCGACAGGTAGGCCATGAGGCCCACCGAGTCTATTCTGAACCGCTTGAAGAAATGGCCGAAACCAGTTCGCATGACAGTCATATGGCCCCATTCGTCCCACCGTGGCCCAGTGGAAGGACCGAGAGACGTGACAGCGACGAAATTCCGGAAACGTGGTATGTTAATCAATGACCACCCTGCGAAGAATTCGATCAGATGATCTGCGTCGCGTTCAACTTTGTCCTTGATTTCGAGGGCATGGTGCTCTGTGCGAGTACCGTATTCATCAAGAGAGGGTGCGATGACGTTGCTTTTTGAGTTGGGGTGTAGACTAGCCTTGTCGAACAAGTCCACGCGAGGGTCCGTGACGTTGTTCTTGATGATTAACGTGTAGATGAGCAGTAGGCTATATTCAACTTCGTTAGAAGCTTGATCCAAATTGTGGTAAAGAGGTATGACTTACATTTCATGATCTTGCGAGTAATTTTCATCACCTAGTCTCCTTTCAATCCATTCAAGTATCCCGGGGGGAAACATCAACGTCCACGATTTGCGTTTGTGTTTGTTTGCGCTCCGAATCCATTGGAGAGTGACTGCCACTCCTCTGAGGTCTGCCAACATGTCTTCGGTGAGAAGTATGACGCCACCATATGGAAAGACGCGTAGATGGTGGTCACTGGGTGAACAATAACGGGGATCAACTAGTTCGAGTGGTCTTTGAATGCGAACAATCCAGAAATTGAACGAACTGAAAGGAAGCACAGAATTGAGTGGAGGACGTAAGGTATCATATCCAGCGAATGATTCGTGAAACTGCTCTCGGTTAGTTGTTTGACAATTTTCAACCTGTGAATATTGATAACATACTATGGCCACGCCCTGTCTGCTGTTCTGCACAAATTTTGCCCAATCTTTGGGGCTATCGCCTGTGAAAACAATCTTCTCATGGTGACTCAAGAGTAGCTGCAGAAACTGCAGTTCCTGTTTTATTTCGTCGTTGTCTTTGGGAAAGTGCAAATAGAAAATACCCGCCTTCGATGATTTCCCGCCTTCCTCAATTGTCGCAAGCTCTTCCACCTCGATTTTGCGGGCTCTCATGATCTCTTCAGCCGCTCGGCCCAATTGAGCTGCTTGGACCGCGATGTTCTCTTGTGGGTGGGCGTTAGCGGAATTTGAATTATTCTTGAGTTCACTTGCGGGTGGGAAGATTTGGGCTCGCACTGGGGTTGGCGCCTCTCGCGATTGCAAGGATCCACCAATCCCCATATCATGCTGGAAGTTCGACCGTCTTAAAGGGCCGTCAGCCTCTAGCCCATCATCTGCACTAGGAGGCTCGACTCGCAGTGAAAGCGATTTATCTGGCAAAAAGCCATGTGGTTGTCCACTAGAGCTTAGAACTTCGATCGGTGCGAGCATAGTACGAGCAGCAATGAGTAGTGGAATGCCGGGTGGCACTTCATTCTTGGGACGTGGAAATCTGAATTCCTGTGACCCACGTGACCAAGCAACCCAGGCAAGGTTTATTGACCCCATAGGATAGTGAATGGCGATGAGGTCGTCCTTTCGGAGATCCTCTGCCAGATGAAACAGGTTTTCGTTGGTGTCGCTGAAGCCCTCGACCCAGCCGGTACTCAGCACAGAATTTGTCTCCTATACCCAATGTTAGCATTCTATAAGAGATAAATCTACGGACCTGGTACTCACACTAGATTGGCACAATTTCTCGTACTCTCTGACTGTGCACAGGTGCTTAAACCAAACCTCAACTTGGCCTGTTCTCGGGTTCTTAGCGAGGATCAGAGATGATTGGACATCCGAACGGATGCCGCATAATCTGAAAGCACCGAGGGGTCTCTTGCCAGGTCCGATAAACATATGGACGAGAATCTCTCCCAGGGCTTTATTGCAAAAGTATCTACTAATCCTGATGCAACCGGGCGCCCAGCTATCACGCACCGGCATTCTGGCAATTTGGGCCGCGATGGAAAGACTAGGTGGAGCAGATGCTCCGGCTCTAGGTTCGGTGGGAGCAAATGACTGAGCATTGGCTATTGGGTTCCCATTCAACCCGATTGAGTCTGAAGATCGTGACGCAATCCGAGAATAGGTTGGGGATGGGCTACGAGGCGCATAATAATCACCCATATCACGCAAAGAAGACCTTGATAGTCGACCGGGGGGCGGTGACCTTCGAGAGGGGGGTGACCGTGGCCGACGAGAGGGTGACCGCCGATATGGTGGTGACCGTCGGTTTGGTGATGACCGTCGGGTTGGTGATGATCGACGAGATAGCTCTGACGGTCGGTAGGTATCGGCTACCATTGTGTTGTTAGACTGTCTGGTTGAGTCTGGTTTATAGCTGTCCCAGCCTCGGACTGTCCCGCGGCTGTCCTGAGAGTCTCGATTCTCAGTACGCCTCTCGAAATTGGCCATTGCACGGGGCCTAGTTGGAATGGCTGGTGACTGGGTAGTAAGGCTATAACCGGGGAGTCTAGCAGGTTGAATTGAAGTAGCCTCCGCACGGGCTCCTGGAAGAACGAGCGAAGTAAAACCCGAAATAGTAGAGGCCGAGAGACTGGTAGGTCTGTCAATATTGGCATGTGATGGGGGGCGGGGATAAGGAGCTGCCGAGGGTGCAGTGAGGGCAGATGTTGACAGCCCAACAGGATTCGTCAAAGGAGCCTCACCTGGCGGCGAGAAAGTAGAGACAATAGTATCTACAGAATCGGCAAGCCGAGTGAGGTTGGCCTGTGAAATGGGCTTTAATTGTGTAGCTGGTGAGATAATAAAAGTAGTAGAATTTACATGGCCAACGGGTTCCTCTGGATTCGACGGTGCACTGGGGTCAGACAACACAGCCGACGAGGAAACTAACACAGTGGAGCCTAAGTTCGAAGAGCGAGGCACTGAAGGAGCCATGACTGATGAGGGTGCGAGAGCAACAGATTTCTCCGGCTGATTTGCAGCTTCATCGTTTATTGGACCAGTATGTTGTTTTGGTGGACCGGTGAAGCTCATTGAATTCTCAGAAGCGGGTTGATTTTGGGCTTCCGGGGACTTGGGACTTGTTACAGATGAGCCCACGATTGAGGTGGTGATGCCGATGTTCATCCTTGGTGCGAATTCAGACGGTTTCCTCAGCTCCATCTGTGACAAATCCGGTGCTCGTTCATTCAATTTGTGATCACGGTATGCGCGCTGGGCCCCCGGGCCCGTACCAAAAGAAGACAATGTTGGCTTTGCTGCTGGTGGAGGGCTTAACTGGCGTGCCGAGGGTTTTTGCTTAGCGGTAGGTTTCTTCGCGAGCTGGGAAAGTCGTGAGTTTGGAAGCTTGTTTGGGGTTGTTTTTGTTTGTGCAATCAAGGTTGTTGATCCTATAGACTCGTTCCGATTCGTTTGCGCACTGGAGGTAACTGATCTCGGAGGTGCTCTTTGTTGCAGCGATTGGCGAGGCACCACATTTTCTGATGGCGGTAGGGTTTCAGCTGGAATGAATAAGGCCGAAGCGTTGGAATCCACGGATAGGCGACTGGGAGCTCTGTTTGGTGCAATGTCTGCTTCGGGCTCACGGGCATCTGTGATATCAAGATTGGCCAGTCGAGATGATTCAGCTCGAGGGAGGCATTTCTGTCGTGCCCTTTGCTCTCGTTTCCGCCTTCGGGCTTCTTTTCGCTTCTTTGTCTTCTTCTCCAACATTGCCATACGCTTTTCCCATGACTTGAGATTGAAGGGAGTCACTCTGCCCTCCGCGATCTGCTTTTTTTTCTCCTCCCAGCCATCTAGTGTCTCTTCCGAAGTAAACATTTCCTTCGGCTCCCAACTGCACCTGTCCATGCTGTACCCGGCCCACTCGACCAGATACTGAGTGACAAAGTTACCTTCATCATCCTCAGAATCTGGCTCAACGTAGAACCTCCGTTCCGCATGGATGTCATTCACGAAGTACTCCGCTTCCGCTTCACTTGCTGCCGTAGATGCCAGAGAATCGGCATCACCGATTCCACTTCGGTCAGCGGCATTGCTAATTTCAGAATCAGATGTCATTGTGGTCGCCTGGCAACTGAATCAGCAAATACTTCATTGTTTAGCGTCCAATGCCCCGTGCCCAAGGTACAAGCAAGACAGTGCTCGGGTTGGAAGTTTGAATTTCGGGGGTTCGGGGCTTCGGGAGATCAAAATAGAGCGAATACATACTGTATTTCATCTTGAATATGATAAGAGACTAAAGCGAACAAAAAGCATGCGGATAATAGCAAAAGCAAAGCGAGCAAGAACAAGACCAAGAAAGTCAATGGTTACTGCCCATTGATAAAAGATACCGCCCGCGCGTCAAACGCCAATCCACGTGATCCGCACGCTAAGCCACAATGGGTGGGCACGATTAAGGAGAGACACTCGGCCCAGGTATCACTGACTATCCCCTGCTGATTCTCTATTACTTCCCGTGTGTGTGTGCTCCCCTGGTTTTCTTTCTGCCTGCTGCGAGCTCAGTACTGACGTATCTGACTTTCGCCCTCTCAAGTATCCCAGTACACCCCTCAGTCTTCACTTCCCCGCCACGTTCACCTGTACTTCGATACCACCTTTCGAGCTTTACTAGCTCGATCACATTCAAAATGGCCAACGACGAATATGACGTGAGTTGATTTGGGACGACGAGCTCCTCCAGGTCTCAGAAATATATGCTGATGATGATATTCCCCCAGTTTCTCTTCAAAGGTACCGTCGCCACCTTATGCTGATGCCCGCCCATTTTACCCACCACCCCCCTTGTGCCCCTTCCCAAATGATCTCGAGGCTGACCGCGGAGGTATTATGGAGTGAATAGTGGTGCTTATTGGAGACTCTGGTGTTGGTAAATCCAACCTCTTGAGTCGTTTCACCCGCAACGAATTCAACCTGGACTCGAAGTCAACGATCGGTGTGGAGTTCGCGACCCGGTCCATTCAAGTCGACTCGAAGACAATCAAGGCACAAATTTGGGATACCGCTGGTCAGGAGCGCTACCGTGCGATTACTTCTGCCTACTACCGTGGCGCTGTCGGCGCCCTCCTCGTTTACGATATTAGCAAGCACCAGACCTACGAGAATGTTAACCGGTGGTTGAAGGAGCTACGGGATCACGCCGATTCGAACATCGTCATCATGCTCGTTGGTAACAAGAGCGATTTGCGCCACCTGCGTGCGGTCCCCACAGAGGAGGCCAAGCAGTTTGCCAGTGCGTTTTCCAACTATCAGTTTCATTGTGTGGCGCTGACATTCAATAGGCGAGAACAACCTTTCATTCATCGAGACTTCCGCGCTTGATGCCAGCAATGTCGAGCTGGCTTTCCAGAACATCCTTACAGGTTGGTCGTTGATTCCTTGGAATTTGGTATGGAATACTAATTTCGATAGAAATCTACCGCATTGTCTCCAGCAAGGCTCTCGACAACGGAGAGGGTGGCCAGCAGGTCCTCGACCGCCGTCCCGTTATCGACCCCAGCAAGCAAGACAGCGAGCAGAAGCCGGGCTGCTGCTAAATTACCCTTCGCAAGGACGATGCAAGGACGATGCACCGACTGCCACGACTCTTCTTTTGTGATGTGACATGGAGATGGTCTTGATCTGTGTTGGAGTCTGAAATTCAACGGCTACAAAGATGATACACAGGCAGGATCTGTTAGAGAAAACACACGGGAAGATAGGGGTCTACTTTACCGGAATTGATCTTACCGGCTGCCGGATTCCCCTTCTTCAGTCCTTTTTTTTTGTTCGTTTTTCCCGTGGTCCTCAACGAAATTGATCCCCTTTTTTTTCTGCTCGCCGACTGGTGTGCTTGATATGTTTCTACGATGGTGAACACAGCTTGGTTGGGCGTCTAACATTGCGGCTGCGTGAATTTTGTATGAAAATTCTCAAATTCGTATATTCATTCCACCCATTTCAGTAGAAGTGTACAGTGCTGTAGTCATGGAATTCCAACAAGGAGTAGTGTTAATGCCTCATGTCATTGAAGACAGGGCCCACGTGCTCCACAGGGCAATTTATTTCTCGGGGCCAGCCTTTTCCAAATAGCCCCGTTTTAATAATTAGCGCCTGTGTTCGGACAGCACTTGCTACAATATAGGAGAGTAGATCCTTATGTGTGATTGACAGTGCCAACAGGGGCTCATATATTTCAAAGATGTGCGTGGGTTCATATGGAGATTTACCCACGCTATGTGTCGTATGTTGTAGGAACTATGTATTTTTTTTGTCACCTTTTCTATGATCAAGCAAGGGTGGAGCCCATGTGAAACTGCAAAGAGAAAAACCATACGGAGTACTTCGTACACATGTCTGTATTATTTCGATAAATTCAAAAGGCCAACAAGAACAAATCTAGTCTAGGACAATGCCCATCTCACGACTAGCCACTGCAGATCGAAATTCTCCAACCTCGAGCCCACGTTCATTCATGACATATTCCAGCGTGTCACCAAATGTTTCACCGTTGTTGCGGAACCATTCCCCTAGAGACCATACGTACTCCTCTACCTGTTCCTTCAGCAAAGCATGGTCGCGCAACCATAATATCTGACCAGGATCGAGCTTCAGCATGTCCTGCATAATGTAATAATGTGGGATCTCGTCACCCCAACCTTCATACCCGGGGTCATGGGAGAGGTCATTGCGAAACCGAGACCGGAATTTGGCTGGCGACTCGGCATAATTGCTCGGGTGCGCTGTATGGAAGTATTGTTGAATCGAGGCCTCGGGGCCCTTCTGAAGCAAGGAGTGGTCATGTGAAGACAGAGAAACAGTTGAAGACGAAGGATAATTAAGGTGTATATTGAACGAGAGTTGCTGGCTGCTGTCTGGATAACGCTTGCGGAATTTGCGTTGAATGGTCCCATTACTAGGACATATGTGATTTTGGACAATATCACCCATGACGAGGCGCAAATCCTCAATCTCGGCCAGCTCTTGGGTGGACCAATTGTGGAGCAACTGAGCGCGCTCTAACACCACATGGCGAAGACTACGAGAATGGCGATCATAAACACCAGAATGAAATGCACTGTGGTACAGCCAGAGCCGGTAGACTGCGCGGCGCAGCCGTAATCGCTCTTCGTCGGTGAGCGAGCGACGATTTTCAAAGTCTATCTTCCACTTCTTAAACGGGTAGATCGTCTCCCATTTTCGTGCCACTAGACCGAGCTGGATAACTTGTTTGAGAAGGGGACCAGACATAGGTGCATGTCGGATAAGATGAGCAGGCTGACTCTCGTTTTGCGTCACCACTTGGATGATATCGTCAAGGGGACCGAATTCAGTCTCCGCGACACTGGCTAGGATATGCAGTTTGCTTGTTGAGTTGAGGACGCGGTGCAGTCGACGGCAAATGACTGATAAATTCAAGACATCGGAAACTGAGTTGCACGAGCGAAATATATGGAGCAGAAGCTCCGTTGCAAGCTGATCAATTCGCATGATGGAAATATCTATGTTGTTGCTGTAAAGAATAACACCATTAGAATGACTCATAGAGTGTCAATGAGTGACGACTTACCTGATGAGAGGTTATTTGTATCAAGTAATTCAAAAGAAAAAAAACGGTTGGTTTTCGACGATTTATGTATGAATCAAGTTGGAAAGTGTTGTCACGAATTGAAGTAATCAACACCCGTGAACTTGTCGCGCGTACGGTGGACCTATTGGATATAGACCCCGCCGTTGGGGCTGATAGAAGCAAGAGACATCGTGGGATCAAGAGTAAACATATTGGAAGGGCAACCTCCTTGTAGCCATATAGGGCTAGCCAACAAAAATGATGCCATTATAGATGGTGTCAGGAGGTAAAGGCAGACTGGGTTGGGGCGATGGCGTCGAGGGCTTTATATGGCGCTTAGCTAATGTTGCCCCTTGCATCCGCGGGGTCCAACCACTCTAAAGACAAAGCTCTCCAGATGGAAATGAAACAGGCAAAGGCAAGGAACAGATAGAAATAATCAACTTTTGAAATTAACCAGGATGAGATTTTGCCCCGACGCCTTAACAGACCATGATGAAAGCGTCGCATCAAATATACACATGTAGTCGAAACATCATCCCGAGGGATATCAAGTCTAGAAATAGTACGACGAAACAAAAAAAACGTAAACCCTCTATGCAAACAGCTTCCTTGTGTCCAATGCATCCACCTTCCGCACGGAGTTCTCGGACAGTCCCAGATCGGAGCGCTTGGCCACCCGATCAGTCTGGCCGTCTCGGCGCTGGGAGTAACGGCCAGCCTTGCCCTGTCGGATGTCGCTACGGACTTGGTTGGGGCTGACGTATTCCTTGTTCTCATAGATGACGGGTCCACCGAAGCTGCCTTCGAGAATGACAATGGGGGTCAGAACGAAGCGGGGGCCAATCTCGACCAGAGAAACCTCGGGCAGGGCGTTGTCTTTGCCCTTTGGTACGGGCTTGATAGTCTCCTCGCCCTCGCCCTCCTTCTTCTTGCCAGGCTCAGACTCGCGAATCTCATAGACGCGAATCCAGATCTTGCCGTCCACTCCAAAGATACCAATGATGCGGTCGACGAATGGCTTCATGCCTCTGACACCACGCTTGGGCACACAGAAAACTCCGCGCAGCATCTCCCGAACAAGCGCACGGTATTCACTACCAGGAGCGCCCATATCTGGGCCTTGCTCGTCGAAGGAGCGATCGAACACGACCAAGCCGCGGCCGCCCTTCAAGCAATTCCCTGCGAATCCAGCGCCGAGCTCGCCCATTGTGTGCAGGTTGTTGAGGTGGAACTTAATAGTAGGACCATTAGGAGGGCGTGAAAGCCAGAGATAAAGATCCTGGCCGTTCTTCTTGGCCTCGAGGAAGAAGATAACGTTGCAGGAATGCAGGTCGGCAAGAGAGTTTAGGAGGAGGTTGTATCCGGCGGCCTTCTTTTTCGTGTCAAGCTTAGTCTCTTTGTAGGTATGGGGCAGGAGGCCACAAATATCGGACATCAGGTGTCGGTGGCTAGAGAAAAGTAAAATGTCAGATCAGTAAACCCATTCAGCAGATCTCCAGGCGCAATATTCATACCGGTAGGAAGCACCTCTGGAGGTCAAGATAAGTACTCGGGTCTTGGGCATGAATCCAGAAGCAAGCTGCTTCTTCACAACCTCAGCCGCCTCGCCATCGTCGGACTCTTCCTCTTCGCTATCGGTGGTGTCGTCTTCCGCATTGAGGAGCTCCTCCATCTCCATATCCTCGTCGGACATATCCTCGGTGGGCTGTCTAGCCGCCTTCTTTGAAACACTCTTGTAAACTGATGCCATGGTGACTGTTGATTGTGTCAAAATGGAATTGAAATTAATCGTGCAAAAGAAGGCCGAGATCAAAAAGTTGACGGCAGAATATTTTTTGTTTTCCACCGCCCTGAACCTTGCTGTGTCACGTGATATGTGGGCTACCATTGTATTTGCCGATACATACCGCCCAATTTTCCTGCCAAAGCTTCCAGTTTGTTAGTGTCTTACTCTGTACGGAGTACACGATCTTGCTTCACTAGTCTTGTTTTATAAAATGTGACGTACTAGTATATAGTACTTCATACGTTTTACCTTGCGATTTATCTGCCTAACGTCACCCTAAGATATTAGGCTGAAGTCCACTGCACCAAAAAAGTTTCCTGTACCAAAATATATATCTTTTGTAGCCTCTATTCAATATCGATATAAAAACGGAGTGTTATACTGTTTTAGACTACGGCGACAAGAATAGTCGGCTGGGTTTGCGACCTTGTGATGTCTTTTTAGTAAGTCTTTTTCGTTGGTCTTCTCATTTGGAATTTTGAGATGTCTTTTCGAATGTCTTTTAAGATATATATGAAGGCGGTAATAAACGCATACTTTGTGCAAGCGAATTTTCTATATATAGCCTGTGATTTTAACTTTGAAGGTTAATACAATAAGTTGCAACGTGGTGCATTGATTAAAGATTTGACCTTGATTTAGTCAATTTGGAGATCGGACAAAATTCAGTCAAGCAAAGGACGAGTTAATATGACGGAAGTCTAACGCTCTTTGCAGGTTTGCGAAGCCTTCTTGGGTGACCTTCAAGCCGGCAATAAGATTTGCAAACTCTAATCTCTTTCGGAAATCCCAATCATGACCCCGATAGATGAGACCGTACAGCAAGCCGGCATTAAATGTATCTCCAGCCCCGATGGTGCTATAGACTATCAGTATGGCATAATTTGTGCTGTAGTGCATGAGGAAGGTCAAGACTCACTCGCAAATTCCCACTTCTTCAGTATGCGCTGGGACATGAGCAAAGTTGCCAGTCTTTGGTTCAAGTGCTGCAGCTCCATCATGACCCCAAGTACAGCATAGCAAGGATCTATAAACAACATATGTTAGATTGTTTCTCTGGGATCTTGGGCAGTAAGGCCTACGCTCGGCTTGTCTTCAATGATTGATCTCGCAAGCAATCCTCAGCAGATATATATCCATTGTTCTGTTCATATATTAGATGTGCTTGGAAAAAGCCGAAAATGTACTTACCTGGGCCCAGCTCTTCGAGTAGAGAACAACGTCTGCCGCGTCTGCAAGCTCCTGCAAACCTGGCCGACCTGGCTTTTCCACCTCAACACTGATTTGAGCCCCTGGAAAGTGCTCCCGGAGATAATGAATACATTCCAATGTTACATCTGGTGCACGGCCCTGAGTCGAAGTTAGCATGATTCGTGACAAGCTGAGCACCTCGCCAATATTCAACGCACCTCAAAGTGAAACCAAGGCCGATCCGTTACGGAAAGTAGGGGCTCAACAGCAGTTGCGAACTCAGTGCGAGTCATTTCGGGCAGCTCGTTGTAATTGACAATAGTTCTACTACCGGTGGCCTGGCTCATGATGATGTAACTGGAAGCTGGCTCACTGAATATTTCTCGGTAAATGCAACTATCTAGCCGAACCATATTCCCCAAGCTTGATTGGATTTGCTGAGACGCCACTGATGTTTTGGAGGGAAGCACGGTCATGAGATTCAGGGATGATTCGGCACTCGCCGGCCCGTATTGTAACAATTGGCCCATAACTTCGAGAGTGTTTGGGCAATTCCCACCGCGACGGCGACTGATCCTGGACGCACGAAGCTTCTCATCTTCACCTGGGTAATTGGGGACTCTGAGGAAAATATGTGAATACTAGACTGTCAAATGCAAGCAACTTGAGGACAGAGCGGAAACAACTCACGTTAAAATTGTGTCAAAGTAGCACGCTCCTATAGCTAAAAGAGTCATTATGCTGATTTTAGCTGGGATATATTTCCGTTTTTGGAAGAACAAGGAGCTGGTATTGTGGATTGATCGTCTATTTAATTAGGGTTGTTGATCGAGTCGAGGATACCGGCGGCTTTCTAAGGTGAGCACCCGTGGGCCCCCTCCAGGGACGGCTGGGAGGTTGGATTAGTCAGCACAAGTTACTCCAGGGTGTGGTGTTGTGTTATCCTACAATGATGTTTGTCTTGTCATCAAAAATCCTTTTGATAGTCACACATGGCCGGGGGTGAGCCATTATGCTTCCCAAAAGATATGCAGATATTGTGTACAAGAACTCGTTCAATACAGTCATTCTCTAGAATGAACCTCTAGATTGCCATCCTCTTATTGCCACCTAGAAGACCAGTCCCTCGATACGTTTGACTAGGGCAATTAATATCACGTGATGAGTACATGGAGCGCACGTGCCCAAAGGTGCCTGCTGTGTACCTTAATATCACGACGTAAGCATCTACTTGTGAGGTCTTCGCATGCTTTCTAAGAAGCCATGAGGAAAACAGGCTTCTATTTTAGTCTATTATCGATACCAAGATTCATTGATATGTCCCACTCAAAGCATAGGTAGGTACAAAGAAGCAGGCGGGATACTACATGATGCAACTGAGTTTGAATAAGGCAAACTAGGAGGCATGCGATTTGCAGACATTCTATTGTCTGTTATATTTGTTAAGTTAAAGCAAGCATTGATGTGGCTGGCAAGCACTTTGGATGTCTAAATGATCCTTTTGATCCTACAGTTATATAACTGACCAAACTGTTCATGAATCCTTCTAGTGTCCTCACAACTTCATTTTTATCATTCTGTAACTGAGACCATCTTTTTAGCCATGGGTCAGCGGAATAAAGTCTTAGAGACTGATACTCCTACTGCAAAATTCCTCTACACAATCATCAAGCAATTGGACCTAAAATCGGTCAGTTTATTGTCCAACCGTTAACAGATTGATCTAATCTTAATTGAATATGATAGGTCGATTGGAACCGGGTAGCCTCCGATGTTGAAGTCTCCAATGGTCATGCCGCTCGTATGCGGTATTCCCGCTTCCGACAACAGATGGAAGGGACCACAGGGGCAAACAAACCAAAGCGAAAGAGCAAGAAGGCAAAGACCATTGAACCTCCTGTTGAGATGCAAGGCATATTCCCAATGGCTCCGCCACTCGTGATGCCCACCATGGAGCCAATTGACTCTTCTCTTCCGGGAAATCCCTTTATAAAGTGCGAGCCGGGCACTGAAGGCAACACACACTTACAGAGCCTTATACATCATTCTCCGCAGTTCATTTCGGAGACGAGTACCGAAGGACAGTATTACTTCCCTCAGGATTTTGCCTCGATGCAGTTTCAGGTGGCATCCAGCATACCATCTGGCATACCATCACCCAGTCCAACATCATCGTCCTTCATGAATCCATACCAGTTCCCAAGCCCCCCAACCGGTTACCCTTACTCATCACCCAGCACTCAATCTGGCTTTGAAATGCGGGAGTTTGGCCAATTGCAACCTTTCAGCAATTATGCCCCAATAATTAGCTGGGAACCACGCCCCCCTTCTCACCAAGAAGGTCCAACTGTCAAAGTCGAAGAAGGACAGCAGAGTGAGGAGGGAATACAGAGCACAGGGAACCAAGAAGTTCAGGAAGATCAGCATGTTGTCGTCAAAATGGAACAGATTTAAGATTGACTAGGCTTCGTTGGGGACTAGAAGGGCCTCGTTCATGTTTTCATTAGTCAATATCCCTCGTTATTATCATCAAGTATGTTAATTTTGTCTTGATTTTCTCTTCAACTTGCCAAATCTAAGCATGGTATGTTTAGTTGTCCTTGCAAGTATCGGATGAGTCCGATACTTGCGTTTCATTTGGGGGCGGTGGTGGTGTAAATTTAGAGATCAATCTAGGACACATTCCTGTTCCCAAGCAAGAAAATGGACTATTCAGTGTTTATTAGTGATATTTTCTCTCCATCACGCATAGCTGCCCATAGAAACTGACCTGGGGTTCAAAACATTCAAGATAAATATAAGAGGATAGGAGATGATAGGTGAGTGGAACCGGTGCTTTGCTAGAGTAAGCTCCTGCTGTCCTGTCGTGATGTGACTTGCTTTCTTTGCACTATCTACCTAGGGAACTCTTTCTAAGAGATTTCAAACCAAGATCTTTGATCAGAAGTATAACGCAAGCTTATATCTCCATAGAAGAATGCAGATTGGAACATGCAGTGAGGACTAACTTTGTCTACATTGTTAGATTGCTAGAAGAATATACTTCAATTCAAATCGACAGCCCCGAAAGATGAGTCGCTTATTAAGACGTTTACGCGCGGCGGGCAATTTGTTAAGTCTTTTCTCGGGAAATTTGTCCCTTTTCGTTTGTTTCTCTACTCCATAAGCATCTATCCTTTCAGAAATTCAGAGAATTCCTTCCGAGATCGCCGAAGCAATGCCTTCATACAAAGACAACCCTCCGGACCAGGAGTATCTAGACTCGATCAAGAAACATACCGACAAGGATACCAACAAGGTACACTATATCGACAATTTCAATGAGAATTTGACTTTTACCCACGGTTGACATACTAAAACTCGAGTCACAGGTCAATCTCGGGCTCGTGGCCAAGGACTTTGGCTATACCACTGCAAAGTCGTTTTACAAGAAGTATGCCAAACTGAAGAAAGCACACAATCTGACCAACGGCCACATCTATGGTGACATCAAGGTAAGCTGATCTCTATCCACCCAAATGAGATCGAAACTAATCTGATCGAGCAGCTAGAGAGCTCTCCCATCAAGGCAGCTCCTACTAAGGCATCCCTCACTAAGGCATCCCTCACTAAGGCAGCCCCCACCAAGGCAGCCCCCACTGAGGAGGCTCCCGCCGACGAGACTTCTACTGCGGCGAAGGAACCTACCGAGATTACCAAGAGCATCATGGATATTGTGAGCGAGCACGCGAAGGCATATTCAAAGCAACAGGAAGCTATGCTGAAGGGCAAAAGCTCGGAGGAGGATAAGAAGAACTAAGCTCCACACGCCAAATATCCGTGAAAGAGCTCTTCGGTGTGCGAAGATTTTACCGTGAGCCTAGACGATAGGCACCCAGCAGGTGATAGTATCCAATTCAATATGTGATCTACTTCAATGGGAAGCATCTCTTGTAGAGGGGCGTTACTAGAATCATCGGAACCACAATTTCCGATCTTGCGGTCCCCGCGTAGTGGCTTTCATGACAGCAATAATACCGAGTAAATAATCTAGTAGATCTGGACTGGAACTAGCTAGTACCAATGCCACTACATTGAATTTGGATGATTGAAGTTCATAATAGATTAGGTTGCTAGCTAGATAACATCTAACCTAGCAAACAGCGACGACTGCGAGCTAACGAGCACTCAAAGATACTGGTCTTCACCATCCAAGCAAAAGGCAAGGAAAATGCATCAAGCTCCGATGTGCGTCTTTGCTAGGCAATGGTATCATAAGACTCTTCGAAAATGACGATGGGGCCAAGATCATCGGGCGTGATGGTCTCCCAGGAAGGGTCTGCGGGGATTTCGGGATACTTGTCAGAGCGCTCGAACCCTTTGGCATTCTTGGCAATGCTGAAGTAGTATTTCCTGCTGCTGGTTGTCAACAATTGTAACGAAACTCATAGCATAGCTGAGGAGCTTACGCCGCTTCGGGGCTCATATTGACGCCAATATCGAGTGAGACATCCTTCCAATTGATCTGTAATAGCCAATGATATTAGCAGGTGATATTGGATTGTAGGGATTGTAAGTTTGGAGACATTGTGTGAAAATTTGATCGGAATTGGGGGGTTACATACTTTTCCCATCTGAGAGTGTTCCACACAAATCAGAAGAAAGGCAATGGCCTGCTCCTCAGGTGTATTGACAGAAGTCATTCTGGTACGGTTATGAGACCGAGTTGGATGCTTTTCAATGGAGCAAGATACTTGATGGTAGAAGTTGAATAGCTGAGATGAGAGAGGAGCGACGGAGGAGGCAGGGCCTTGAATTGGCTTTAGATATTCCGTCAACGCGCGTTTCGCTCTCGGTGAATGGATCTTGGCTTCTTCTTGAGGTAACATCGCCCATTGTATACAGCTTGGCTAATAGAAAACACCTTCATGTTCAAATACTATAAGCGATGATATTCAGTTAGACTACTCTGCATGAAGGTTAATATATTGTATATTTTGTAGGAGGATAATGAAGATATGAACTCAGAAATGTCCAAACTAAAAGAATAGAAATACCCGTCTACAACTCTTGATGGGACATGCATTGCCTATGGGGTACCAGTGCAAAAGAATCTCAAGCCCAGCCTTAAAATAGGGGCAGAGATATTGAATTTTATTCATAAAGTGCAAGCAAACAGTAGGATTGAACATATCAAAGGGGGTATCCTATCGAATAAACAGGAAAGAAACCTGCAAGGTGTATATCACAAATGGGTACAAACATGATGGTAAGATCTTCATGTAAATCTAACGGAGATATTCGGTTGACAAGTGTCATATGTCTGCCATGACAGATTCCACAATCTTTCGTTTGTACTGTGACAAAGCCTGGTCCTTTTTCTGCATCTGAGCACGGAGCCTTGTGTAACGTTGCTTCCATGTTGTCTCGGAAACAGGCTGGCTGGGATCATCATCGTCAGAATCCAGGATCACAGTTTTATCCTTGTCATTATTCTCATGACTCGGACCCGAAATGGCGCTTGTGTGGTCAGACGCACCCATACCTCCAACACTCGGATTCACATTTGCGAGCGTGATTTGCATCGAAAACTGGTTTGAGGTTTTGTACTCATGGGAGACGGTATAGTGAAATCCACTTGATGATTCCTTAGAGGTAGGAGCACCTGTATTTCCATCGCTGCTTGGGATGGCATGCTCAACCTTGATGACCAGTGACTCTGGATTAGTGCCTGCGAATCCGAAATGATGACCAAGGCCAAGATGAAAAACAAGTAGCAGTAAAGGAGTTCCAAGTTGGAACTGTGAATATAATGAAGACAAATTCATCACCATCGCCGACGCCAGGGCACCTGCCTCGTTGGGCGCGAGGGTCGCCGTCCGCCCTGTCAGCCTAGCACGAAGAAGCTCTGCAGAAAGTGCATGAATAATGTCATCGATAGAGGGACTCGGGGTAGGGGCCGCATTGTTTTGCCCGCTGATGGAAGATGCTTGAGTAGTGATACCATTCTTTGGAGTATCTGTGGTGGGATATTGACGAGAACCATTGGGCCCTTCGGACCCGGGAATGACGGCACCACTCACACCATTGACGACTAGTCTCGGTGGAGTGGCAAGTCGAACAGGCGCCCCTGAGTGCTGAGGAACCTGCAACTGAAGTTTATTGGGCCTCCCTTGAGAGATAGATGTTGGAGGTTGATTGTGGGAAGGGGTCTGAAATATCTGCGGCGGATGTCTGTCAGGGGCGAGTGGGGGATGCTGAGTATGAGGATTGGGCGCCTGTGATGTTTCCCGACTAGGATTGACCTGGAAGGTAGAAAAGGAACCGGATGAAGACCCTCTATTTGGTGGCCTTCCTCGGCCTTTCCCAGCTGACAAGCCGTTGCTGTTAGGCCAAGCGGATGAAACCGCGGGACCATGCCGTCTCCTAGAACGGGATTTTTCACCGGTTGACGGAGTGACTGCTGACCGTGGCTCTGCAGACACGAGGACATCTGACGGTAGATGACTCCGTGGAATGATGGCAGACTGTGGGTAGTTAGCAGGAGAGGCATCCCGTTCTGGAAGTCTCCAGCGTATATCTTGGCTTTGTTGATTCGGCCCTGAACCATTTGGAAACGATGAGGTCGCCGCTATCCAGGGGTCATTTGGTTCCATATCATCAGGAAATGCACTGAATGGAATTGCACTTTGTGGGAATGTCACCGAGTGGGAGTGGAAGCTACCATGCTGTAGGGCGCCAACAGATGTATCTAACTGGGGCCGCTTGATTGCTTTGTCTTCCTCAGTGTACCTATCCTCGACCCTTTTCCTTCCCCGTTTTGGCTTCCATTGTGGCACAAGTGCCCTGAGTGCGAGATCTTCTTCCAATAATACCCCATCACGGGATTCGCTGACGAAAGGACCAGATGGCGGGAGCTGTGTATAGTAAGAATGGGGCAGGCCCATGCAATATTCAAAGAAAGCATCAATATGCATAGCACGCATCCAACGCTGGGCGATATTAGCACGACGAGTATGGTTTGGAGGTTTGAGGACAGATGTACCTTGAGCCGGACAGTGTACTGTTGCACCTTCTGCGTGCTTTGTTTCTTTTCAATACAGGGTGGTTCGACACCCAGTTCAATTGCTAATTGAATCCAGGTCTTTAACTCTTCATTCTGCAAACGCCTTCGAATGAGGCCGAATAGGGTAAAAATGTTGAAGCTCTTTCCATCACTCCGCGGGAGACACCGAAAGGTCTTTCGCAAATCTGATGTGTCAACTGAGGACGGAACATTTGGATTGCAGTACAAGATAAATGTGACATAGGCATCATCAATCGTCTCGTCAGTGATATCCCGTGAGGGAAGAACTCGGGAATCTGCGTGATCGGCGGGATCTTTTATCGGCTGATGGCGGCGAGGATCAAAAACTGGCGGAGACATGGATGTCCCGGAGTGATTGGCCGATGATGGGGGTATAGCAGAACGCATGCCCCTCGGCGAAGACTGTAAGCTCCTCGGGGTTTCTCTTCGCTGCAAGGGAGGCGATTTGTTGATATCTATTTGGCTACGAGCACTTCCCAAGGAGGAAGCACTCTGCAACGTCGATTCCAAGGTCGAAGGATATCGCGCATATTGTTGAATGACCATTTGCGGTCCGCCGAGTTCACCACGGCTCGGGCGATCGGTGGAGTCCATGATAATAGGGAATGATGTTTCCCTCTAAAATTTGGTGATTCTGAGTGACAGACCTCTATGTTTAATTGTAGAATAGAGCTAGACATGCGATGCAGGGAAACAATCATGCGGATCCTAGGTCGCATAGGCAAGTCGTCATTATCGTCAAATCAGGAGCCGCGGCATAGATGTAGGCTATGCTATCTTCAACACAAAGTGTTTGGTGTATGAATACAGAGAAAAATAGAAGAAAATCAGATTCTGAACAGCAATGCGCCGATGGTGTAGGGTTCCAGGAGGTTTCCCCTCGAGGTGGCTGGAAGCGCCCATCTTTAAAGCTCAAGCTGAGAATCTATTTTGGGGCCATCTAGTGCTCCCCAATGAGGGATAGCGTCGTAGCCTGAGGGCGGGGTTCCTGCCTGGCTATCACGTGCGAGCTAACCCAAAATAAGGTTAGCGCCAGGCGGCACCTTCCAAGTGTTATCGATAAGCTTGTCGTCTTGGCATTCTTGGCCTCTTCGACCTCATCCGTCAAAGAAGCCGCGCTCTCCCGGACTTCTGTCAAGGTCAATGAGAACGACAATCATTGCATAGTTGTCGCCTCCAGTCTAATCAAATTTGTTCTCTGCTCATACTGTTGTGCGCGCGACGACGTGCGTACAATGTGGCCCGGGTCTCTGCTACCCACTCTCTTATCCTAGCGCGACCTTATCCGTCATGGCGCCCTCGAGTTCGCGCTCAAGGTCCACTCGCCCTATGCGGGCCAGCCGCACGAAAGTGCAGACCTACCACGAGGAAAGCTCCTCTCAAGATGAACCAAGAAGTTTGACAGGCTCAAGGCGTGCCTCATTATCTCTTCGGTCGCGCAGTACAACTCGAATGCCAAAATCCTATCGTGAAGATTCAACGGATGCTAGCTTTGATGCAGCCGTGGAGGACAACGAGTCCGAAGCATTGGTAGATGCGTCGATCGACGCACCAAACTCAGATGCCGAATCTGTGCCTACCCGCCCTTCCAAAACCAAACGTCCTCGGCGCGCAGCAACCACCCCAAAGTCAAAGCAAACTAAACGATCGAAATCCAGCAGTCAAGTTGGGGGAGTCTTGCACAAACGTGCCAAGACAGATGGCGATGACCCGATCTTCCTAGGATCTGGTGTCATTCCTCCTTGGCAAACTCTTCCCTACCAAATTCTTCTCGACATTTTCTTGCGCGCATCGCATCCATTGCTCGACGAAAGCCGTTCAGCCCGCAATGACTCTGTCAAGTGGTTAGTCAATATAGCTCTTCTGTGTCGAAGCTTTCACGAGCCTGCGCTCGCCGCACTCTATCACTGCCCCCCTCTTCTTCCTGCCTACAAGAGCCATGTGCTCCTCTCTCTGTTGGCCCGCCCGCAAGAATCCCTCTCGATGAACTACTCAAGCAAAATCAAGGAACTTCATGTTGAGGTTGAACCAGTCCTCATTTATAAAAGTGGCCCCTATGGCTACTTTGACCTTGCTCAGTTGATTGCACAGACGCCTCGTTTACACACGGTACGGCTGTATCACAAAGATGATTACACGGTGGGAATACCTCCATGGCACATTGTTCAATCGAAGTGGACATATCCAGACTCTCTCTTTTCCGCCATCGAGAACCGTGGCATTGCCCTTAGTAGCTGGGACTGGAACAGCCGCTTTTTAGAAACTGATAAGCTTATCGAAATGACGGTGAACATGCACTCGGAGCGCGCCTTCCAGGGTCTCAAAGAGCTGAAGTTGCTCCACTTCGATAATTCCAATGAAGAAACTTCCGCTGTCAAGGAGGCTGGCCTCCTTGAAGCCCTTGACATGCTTCCAGAGCTTCAGCGACTGGATATTATTGAAAGCTCATTGGTTAGCGGGGAAATACTCACCAATCTACCAAATACTCTTCGTTCGCTTACCCTGAACAACTGTGATCGATTGTGGTCATCAGACCTCACAGCCTACATATCCTTACATGGAACCAATCTCCGAGAGCTCAGCTTAAGCCATAACCGCCATCTCAACATGTCTTTTATCCAAACTTTGGCTCAATGCTGTGAGAATCTTGAAGTTTTCAAAATGGATCTTTCTATGCATGATGCATCCAGTTACCACGATGTCGAACCGCACTTTGAAGATCTACTTGTCCAAAGCGAAGTCCCCACATGGCCAGTGAAGCTCCAAGAAATCGAGCTCACCCAGTTACGAAAATGGGATGACGCTACTGCGGAGGTTTTCTTTACTTCGCTGGTGAATGCGGCACCCAAACTTCGTGATCTACGTCGATTGGTCATAAGCGCAATCCTGAAGATTGGCTGGCGTGACCGTGCCACTTTTCGTGAGCGATGGATAGGCCTGCTCGAAAAGGTATTCCTGCGACGAAGCATGCCGCCAGACCCCAACCTCCGCTCTCTTCAGAAGCGCTCGCTCAAACCCACTATACCCATCACAAGGAATGGCCCTGATGAACTTGGTGCTGGAGTTGATAATCCACGACCATCCACGGCTGATAGTGGACCATCGACTTCCTCCAAACGTCAAAGCACTCGGCTGGCACATCAAAAGTTCAATGAAACTGACGATGCTGCTAGTGGTTCTTCCTTAGTGGGGACTCCGCAGCCTGAAGCCGTAAAGATACAGGGAATGTGCGACATTGTGAACATTCGAATCGACAACCAGCGACCAACTGAACTGCAATTCAACGAAAATGATTTTCTTGACGACGAACTCAGTGGCGACGAGGACTGGGCTGGCGATGACTTCTAGCCAACCCTGGGACGCTCGGGGTGATAAGCTATGGCGAAATCCCAACAGCAGTACCTTTCTGTATCTAATCATGTCGCCTATCGGGTCTCTCTCATGCGCCTGAACGGATATGTTCTTTTTCGATTATGCCGATATGTTTCTAGGATCTGGCGCTGAGGTTGCTTATTCATTTGGGAGGGGGATAAACAGGAGTTATCTACTATTCGATATTGTCTTAAAATTAATATCTAGCAATTTATGAGAATAACGAACTGGCTTTGGATATTCATATTCCGCATTCCATGATTCTATTGCTTGTATGTACCTCGTGTGCATACAACGGGCGTAGCAGTTGCGGTGCTGACTTGAGGTCCGTGCACGGCGATCGAAGGCCAAGCCCCACAAGATCGTCTTATCGGCGAGTCTCGTTGAACCTCACATCTGTTTATTCCACCCTTTGTTCTCTGTATATTTGCATTTTATCCGTTCAGATCCATAATTTGGATGTCTGATATCTTTCCTTTTGACTTCTTGACGTTGGTTGGATCCTGTTAGGTCTGAGATGGCGCCCGAGGCCCCTGCGGACACTGCAGGCCCATCCTCCCCACCACCTCAACTTCCAGAAGGCTGGTTAGTCCACCCCGAAAGTCAAAGTACCTACCCGCTGTATCTAACAATAATATCCGATAGGCTCCCTCAATGGGAAGGTGTCGGACGGAAATGGTATTACGTACAGCGCACGACCGGGAAATCGCAATGGGAGATTCCGACCGAACCGATCGTCCTGACCCCGTCAACAACACCGACACCGATGGGGGCAGGGCTACCGCAGGAGCCGAAATTGCATCCGACAAGCGGCAGTACTCGAGAGGGGGAGTCCGTGGACACAATGGCAGGCGGGACGTACTCCGCGGCGGACAGTGCGAGAATTTCCGTAGGGAATCGCGCTCATTATGTCTGCGTAAGCATTACAAGAATGGCACTGATGGTGGGATAGAGCTCCCTTGACTCCCATACATATGGGCAGTCGAACAATCCAGCCTATGGGTCTTCAGTGGCACCGGGTTGGTATTCGAATCAGACGGGTCAACACTTGCCCGGCGGATACGAGCAACAGCTAGCTGCAAACGCAGCCGGATATGGCCCGGTATGTTCAAATGTTCGCGGCTCACGTATTTTGATTAGCTGTAGTGCTTATTTTTCTTTAGAATCCATTGCACCAGGGCCCCGTTGGACAGATGAATGGTGTTCAGCCGGCATATTATGGGAGCCAGACACACCAAGGATATCAAATCACGGGTCCACACCACATGGGGCAAAGTATCTCCTCATCAGCGTGGGGTAATAATCCAAGTACTTATCAGGGACACCCAAGCGGTTATAACATGACACAACATGCACAATCCTTCCAAGCATTTTCTGCTGATCCTGCTGGATTGCATGGCCATCAACCACCAGCATCGTGGACAATAACCAGCAATCCACAGGGGCAAATGGCAAGGTCAATGGATGGAACTTCCGATCCCCAGCCACAGTGGCAATTGGAATCACAACAAGGCCATTTGAATGCCTCTGGTGAGGGTGTCCCGATGAACTTACACCCATCAACCATGCCTAAGCCCTTATTTGGGTCTTACTCATCCAACCAGAATGTGGAACCGTCTTCGGGAGAATTCGCTCGCCGTGCCTCGAATATTTCTATTGTTAGAGAAGGGCAGCCCTACCAAACTTCCGCGGATAGCTTCCCCAACCATTCAACGCACTCCATGGGCGACCAAGGTAGATTTGGACAAGGCCAACTGGACCCACGCTCCCATTCGCAACATGCTCTCACGGACCCTGCTTTACAGGGATTCTCACCACTCCAACATGTACAGAGTCAATATCAACAGCAGCACATGATACGAAAACAGTCAGGATCACACCAAGTCAACCTTGCTCAAGGCCATCAGCAGTATCACAACCCAATGGCGCCAGTGAGTTTCAACCAGTACGGTTCACAGCATCAGTTTGGTCATAGCGGTGGGCCGACGGGTTTCCCCGAAACAGCACACGTTCACCAAGTTCCTTACCACCAGTCGAGCCATTATCCCGAGCATATTAAACATTCACCGGGGGAGACAGGAAGAGATCCAGAGTCACACTTTGTTAGTGGGCCGTGGACATCGACACCGCCTTCTGCTGGACAGTTGTAGGCACCAATGTGTTGTTCTTGTTCATCAATCATGATGGTCAACAGGAACACAGGATACGATTTCCTTTTTGAGCGGCTTCTATGGACATGTTTATCTTCTGCGCTGTTTGTATTTCAGTATAGATTCCCGGGTCGATAATTCGTTACTTCAATTGAGTTTTGTGCCAAAGAACATTCGATCTAGCTGCCACAAATTCCTATGCTTCAACGCATTACAACTGCAAGAAGTACACAATCAGGTATTGATTGTGGAAGTAGAATCACGCACATAGGAATATCATATCATCCACTCACTGGGACGCCAAGACAGAAAGGCAGTAGCATGGAATTTGAGCTATGAATTTCATGTCATTATTCCAGTTGATTCCATAACTCCATTATCATTCACGTGAAAAAAATCTGACAAACGAGATGGAGATCCTTCCAAGGTTCTTCATGTTCTTTCCATATCCCCTTCAACTTCTTTCATAACATCACCATCGTGTCCGGGCTCCCCAACCATCCATTTTCAACCCCACGTACGTCTTTTTATCACGATGGCTAGTGCATGGGATCACGAGAGAGACAAGCAGGTAAGACTTCTCATCTTCGGGGAATAACAGCGACCGCCCCTTGGATGCTAGTTCCTGGTTGATCTTACCATACTTGGCCCTTTGTTGCTAGCGCTGGCAAGGTAGTGGTATCAATGGCTAACTATTAGCAGTTGCTTGTGGCCATATTGGCCGTCCATGCTCCGCTGGACTTTGCCGCGATTGCTCAAGCGATGGGACAGGGTGAGTACATAGGGCTATACACCCAAGCTGTCACGTCTACAATTCCTACCTCCTCTTCCCATGGACACTTAATCCTACGTAATGGCTGCACAAACTCATATGATGAGGTATAGGCGACAGCACTGCTGCCGTGAGACAGCATGTCTACACCCTGAAAGCCCGCCATGAAGGAATCTCTGCCAAATCTCCTACCAAGGACAAGACCGACAAACCTACTGGCCGTGGCCGCAAGGCTGCCAAATCCACCACCAAGCGCAAGAGTTCCTCGTTCACCAAGTCTGAAAAGGATTCCACTGTCGAGGGTCAGGGTGGAAATAGGGACGATTCCAACCCCAGTCCCACTAAGCAGCGCAAGATCTAAGGGCTTCCGCTTCTTAGACCTGGCATTGGCTGGGAGATAATGACTTTCATTCAAACATTTACGAGGAGGTTGATGCGGCATCGCGAAGGATGGGATCGTTTGGCTTTTAGTCTAGGTCTCTCGGGTACCTTGAACCACAGCAGATTCTTTATGAATATCCATTTCCAAGAAGAATGCAGATTTCTTTCATCACACTGGCTCTTTTGACCACTCTCCAGTATGGAAGCGACTAAGTATCTGTACATGTACAACATGTACCTAAGGCTACAGGGTGTGATGACACGCCCTGGGTCGACGAAGCAAACTTGAACATGCTTTTGCAGATATCACAGTTTCTCGTGCATTCAATAAATTTATAAATATAGGTATGTACCCATAATACGGCTAAAAGCCCTTCTGATAATGTTGGAAGTACATAAACTCCATACGTGTTTAAGACGTCGACGATAGTGTGTTCTTTTGTGTCTGCGCTCAACATTCGATGCCTTCTTTGTGTTTTCTTTCTATGCTGTGAGAAATGCACTCTATATTGCTACTAGGCCACACTACAACGCATGGTATTTAATTATTGTATAGAGTGGGCCATATCTGTTCCGTTTCTTGCTTATTTAGACGACTCCAAGTTCATAGGGCTGAACGGCACACACACAGGAGAGATTTTGATCAAACAATCCGAATTAGATCAAAACCTCGATCAGATATAAAAGGTAGGTTACCGACGCTTAAAAAACATCAACGAGGAGAAATGAGTTGTTTGTTACTATACAGTGACATGTCAATGTTCAGAGATCGTCCGGCTCAGAGATCGTCCGGCTTGCCTTTTCATCTCTTCACGTCACCTTCTTTTTCCTTTCTTCTTTACTCTATCGACGATTAACAGTGATCACCCTCGCATATTAGCAAAAGGTATGGTTGTATATGAATTTCGACGATTTCCTTTCAGCGCGCGCGGGATGATCAGTCTACCCGTCACTGCGTTTCAGATGCTGATGTCGTTTGTTATAGCTCGTATTATGACCAAAGCAACGATGAAGATCACCTGGAACGAACAGGCCGATGCCAAGGTATGTTCAGACTCCTGTCTGTCAGTGGTCCGCGGATATCTGTTATCACTCCTTATCCTTCCAACGTTGATACCGCTTGTGATTTTGTGCTGCTACGGAGCCTTGATTGCCCTGATCTAGTTTTTGGTGGCCTAACTGGATGTCGATGAGCTGTGGCGGCTGTATTTCACCTCCAATGCTTTTCGATATGCCTGCCATTTCCAAGACTGGCCCAGATGTCTCACCGTCTTTACTTTATTTCAGTAACTAACCATCATCTTCTTTAGTTGCTGGCTGGTATTCTGGCTACCACCCCAACCCCTATCGACTTCCGTGCTCTTGCTGAGTACATGGGTGATGGTTAGTGTTACGCAGAGAACCCTCGCATCCCATACTGCAGTCCTTGACCCCGAGCCCCCAAATATAGCGCCTACCTTTCATGTTAACCAGCCTATTGTTCCGCATCACCCACCTAAACATGAATTTACTGATTCACCACCATGTGGCTTATTTGATTTGCTTTGCGCTGCGCCTGAACTACATATCCTTTTTGTATCTTAAAGGATGTACCAATCGCCCCCCCCTCCCAATTTCTTTCCTTACTGTGCCCTGAAACCCCGCTTCAATACTCAAAACCCCTCTTATCGACGCCTTTACGTCTAATAAAAGCATCATGCTAAACTCATTCCATAGGAGTCACCGTCAGTGCCGTCCGCCACCGGGTCACTCGCCTTCGTGCCAAGGCTGAAGCAAATGATGGCAGCGGTACCTCTGCTCCTGCTTCCCCCGTGGCTAACAAGCGACAGCGTGCTACCCCAAAGAAGTCTGCCAAAGCCACTGCTTCAAAGTCCAAGGAAGCTGTTACTGAGTCTGGTGAAGGCCCAGTTCCCAAGGACGAGGAGACTGATGATGAGGATGTGAAGGGCAAGAAGCCCAAGATCAAGCAGGAGGACACTGAGTAAGTTTCTGCTAGTTGTGAGTATACTGACCAAAATTCAGTGGGCTAATTTTATTTGACCCAGTTTGTCCATCCTCAGCTCTGATTCCTTCAAGGAGGAAGAAGGTCCATCTGACCTCTAAGCGCCGTCACCGCGCTCATTTCTTTTCACAGCGGAACCATAACACGTCGACATGGTGAGGTGTTAGCATGCTGATGGTATCCGGGTTTTATCTGGGGAAGTTTTTCTGAATATCACAACTGGGAGGAACATGGCAATGGAACAATCTACAAAGGGATATGATCAGATGGATCTATGACTAATGGCAATGAGCTTGACTATCTAGATAGTCGAGTCTCTTTTGCTCGAAATAACAGACCATTACTATCCTACTAGTTTTTTTTTACATTTGTAGGTGAAGAATAGATTTAAAGTAGACGACAAGAGGTCGATTGTTGATTCAACTAGGTACTTCGGCGCAATCCAGACAAATGAGCACCGGTGTTGTTGTTGTTTTTTTTGGGTTTTTCTTTTTTCCCCCATGATCTCACGATAAAAACAAACGCCATTGTCCTTCGACAATTTTTTTTTTTTCCTTTTCTTCTTTTCTCTGAACGACCGGGCCACACACTCATTGTTGGAGAATAACAAATCACCCAACATCAGGCCCGGCAAAAAGTAGAACGCGAAATCTAATATTGATCATGGGGATTGGAGGAAGCGAAAGTTCAGGCGGCTGACATGATTCCTCTGTGGGAAAGGCCGTTGGACTACTTGGACAGCTCGTCGGAGTCCCAATCAGCGTCCGAATTGTACCCAGACCATTCGGGATCATTCTTTCCGTGGTCAACAACAGGATATTCTTGCTCGACCTGCGGGTGAAGAAGGGGGTCGATTTCGTCAAGACCGGTTTCCTTATTGATGGCGGACTCGGCAATAATCTCTGTGTGCTCGGTAGGCAGGTCTTCCTCTTCGTTGACATCAACCTGATCCTCATTGACCACAGTGTCCTTGGTAACACGCTTGCGCTTGCGGGAAGGGGTGGCAGAAGTGGGAGTTTCATTCGCCTTCTTGCGTGGGGTGCGCTTCTTGGGGGTCACTGGGCTAGAAGGCCCGGCGCCGGCGGGGTTTCCCTGGCGGACGTTCTCCTTGATTCTGGTGAGACGCTCCTTAATGGCACGTGGAGTTGGCTTATGGTCATCGTCTTGGGCAGCTGAAAGATTGTTAGAATTGTCAATGCAGGTGATATAAATGCTGTTGCGACTGCAGAATGAAGAACTTACGCCAGGCCTCGGCGACCCTGGCCGCATCGACACTCAGGTCATGGGTCTCAAGGATTTTGGCCAAGAGCTATATCATATTAGATTTGTCAGTCATAGTTGTCATTATCAGATTTGAGGACGATCCATGAGCATAGGCCGAGAGGGGGAGGTTCCAGGTTTTGGAATAGCAAACAAAATCTGGAAGGCAAAAAGGAATTTTTCGCAAATATGAAAATGATAGCGATCATCAAGCAGCTTGAGATGATCAAATCAAGACTTAATCACAAAGGCCTTTGGCATGGTCATGCAAGAGAGTATGGAGCTCCCAGTGTAAATTTGTCCGGCTAGACATAGTTCAAAAGCCAAGGCCAAGTGAGATGATCAGCCTAAGCTGATGATTTGGGCCCGGACAATGGAATGAAGATGAAAAGTAATAACGAAGTGAAAAAATAAACTTACAGTTTGGTCAGCGTTGGAATCCCACTTTACTTTTCCCATATTGGCAGCGGGAACTGTATGCAGTATTTGGTAGCAATGAGATAAGATGAAAGTCAATCGAGTACGCTCTCAGAATACAAAGAATCTTGAGAAGTTGCAAGGTGGAAGAAAAGAAGGGGAAGAGGAAAATTCAGGGAAACAATTTATAGAGATGAGATGAATTGGATTAGTCGTCAATTTCGGCGCTGAGTCGTCTATACAAACGAAAAAAATTAACTAATATGTAATAATCAGTATGCTTAGTCGTGCACATAAACTACCTAGACACCTGGTAAGTGAGGATTGTTCGTTCATAAAACCCATGAGATAGCTGCGAATTTGCTATCACTGTTGTCTAATATCTCCCATTGATTTGCATATTCAATCAAACGTTAAAACTAGTTAATTCCACACCTCTCGGCTGTCACATAATTGCAGCTGTCTAGTAGGTGGGAGTGCAACATCCGTGGGATGACAAACTGGGTCCTCCTGTTTGCTAAAGAATGAGCTCCTGTGCATATTGACATATCTCATGGACTCGGTCGAAGGTCACCGGTTGGAACAGAAGAAAATAAAAAGATGAAGAGAAGAGCGTGTATGTCTCCGAATGGAACGAGATATGTTCTTTCAATGTACATGATAATTTAGTTGATTTTATTTCTATAATCAATATAAGGCGCCTTTTCCTATGTATCTATTATGTCTATATGCGTGTTTAATTACATGCTCAAGATGGATTTGCGGATATGGGCAGCAATGAAATGTTTGACTTTGATTTCCAAAGCCATTTGGATGTTCTGTACTTTTTGTGATCTGTTATTATCGAGATAGATATGATTGTTCTTATTAATATAGACATGTGATCGATTTTTTCTTTGTCTCATTTGAACGGGTCATTTTGCAACACGCCTTCTCAAAATCCGAGTTGGGGCCAGTGGTAAGTCATCTTGCTCAGATAGGCGTGGCGAAGCAAGAAGACCGTTGCTGACTTTGTTCTCCACTCGCTTAAATCTTGATGAATCACGAGCGTGGTTCTCAGACTCATCTTTCTTCATCGACTCGCGGATATGGTTGAATCCAAGGGGGTTTCGTTTACCCTGAGGGCTGGGTTGCACATCTTCATGAGCTAGGGAAGAGCCAGACCAAGGATTGGGACCAGACGCGACTATTTCATCAGTGGGAGACGCCAGCTGATGATGCAATCGTTTGGAAATAATTCTGGTACGTCTCGTTGGCGAAGGGGATCGGCGGCGATATCTGGGCTGCAATACACGCTGGGGCGACCTGGATCGGGGGCGGGGTTCAGACATGCGAGGAGATCTGAGATTCCTACTGGTGTCTTGGCTTGGATCTGGATCACCTGAAAACCAACTGCGCTGCAACCAGTCGCCGACACCGGGACTTTCTTCAAGTTGAGACAGCCCCATGGGCTTCGAATCCTGCGGGTGCGGGGGAGGCTTGTTTTGTTGCATATTGGGTTGTTCGCTCTCGCATGAACCCTCCTGGCGTGAGGATTGACGAGCAATATCTTGATTACTAGGCCCAGGTTCCCAATCCTCAACCCCGAGCTCGCTAGCACGAGAGGCATCCAGTCGCCCGTCAATTTCTACAGACTTCTGACGCCAACCCGCAGCCCGCCGCTTCACAGACAACCATGAGTACTCGCGACCGGTGTGATCGTGAAACAACGACGCAAGATTTTCCCAGAATCCTTTCGCCGGAACCTTGCCATTTGACACGGAGGGCAATTCTTGTTCATACAGTCTCCTCAGAACGCCCTCTTGCGCAAGGGTAAGTTTCTTGCCACGGCCTGTGCTGGGGCGGTGATCGATTACGATATCGCTAAGCTTGGTCCCACGGGCTGATGCAAGATCCATTGGGGGCATTTCTGCAGCCGATGCTGGGTTGTGTGGTTTTAGGTTTGGTTGACGACCATCTGGCCTTGTATTGCATGGGAACGCCACGCTGCCACCGAGTCGGATCACTTGGCTTGAGTTCGAATGGATAGCTCACAGTTGGACCCACAGATTGAGGGGATTAAGAATGTCAGTGGGTAGGTTCTAGCCGAAAGGAGCGGGATGACACTAGAAGTGGGTCGGAAAGGCCAGATACGCGTCACGTCGCGTCTATCCCGCGTTTTCGGCGCCGACACGTGATTATCATAAATTGATTTACGACTTCATACCTACGCAGGTTTCAAGGTTCGGTCCATCTGCATTTATATCGATTTTGCTTGTTGAAATACCTCGATTGCATCCACTTAACATATTTACAAGGTCACAAAGTCATCCCAGCATTCGGACGTAATCCTTTTGTCTGCAATCTATGAGTCAACATTGCCAGTGAGGGTTAGGGATAAACAATACGTATAAGAATTTGTTTATTATAAACCCTGGGCGATTTGGAACACGTATTTCCCTATGCCGCACAAAATTAGGGCAGAGAAGCTGCACCAGGGCAACCATGCATGAAAGACAGAGCACGTGAACCACGTAGTCACAACCCTAATTCAACTACTATGGGAGCCATCTTTATCTATGGCTTGGGTGATTTGTTATTTCAAGTTCCCAAAAGGACATAAATATCGCAATTGCCAACCCGAACTAGGAGCTGGATTTGCACTGCCAGTGGTTCCATCGAGGACAACCTCGGGCATATTTTCACCCATGACGAGTGTTGTAGGACTCGGGATAGATATCAAATGGAGAGGCAATTGTGTTTGGACCTGGAGGTGAGGGTACCTCGATTATTCTAATAACATTCTAAGTCAACACACGATGCAGCAGAGTTTGTCGAAAACTCGGACTCACTTCTACATAGAATATGAACAGTGTTCTTAATAAGCTGGAGAACATGTGAAAAAGAAAATTGGCAACCGTCAGCTTCCAGGATTTTCTTCAACTTGGTTATTAAAATTCAATATGAGGGGTATGTACATATGTCAACGATCAATCATTCGTCACGCAGTAAATATTCTCTAGAACGCCTCCACTAACACCAAAGACAAGCAAAATTCCACGTGGACAGCATTCATCAACTCTCAGACCAAGTCCAGCCGGATCACCTAATGACAAAGCTGAATCCATTGCGCAATAATATCTTCCATGTCATGTGCAATGCCCCATTGTGACGATAAGCACCGGAAAAGCTTTTGCATAGTGTTGAGCTCATAAAGCAGATTCCTGACAGCACCACCGATAGGAAGCGGAAGCGAGGAAGCCTCATTTCCATTCTCGACAAAGCGCTTTGTCTCCGAACCAGATAGAGGGCGGATATCCTCGTGACTGAGGTTGAGATCGGAATGGGATAGCAAAGCGTCTTGCCAAACAATATTGCGAGGCAAATTCACAGTGGCGACTCCTGCAAGTGAAAGGACGACGTATATCGTTGCTGCTGCGAACAGCGAGCTGGGCATGTGCACGACGTGTGCGCGGCCACGTGGTAGTTGCTCTACAATATCTTGGATGGCGACCGCATGGAGGACGGCCCGCCGCGCATCTTCTGAATTAGCCCATTTGACTAGATCGAAGCCTGGGCGGATGGTTCCGCATCCACCAGAGACGTGTTGGATGATGTTGTAGCGCGAGCAGACGTGGCGGGAGAGGACTGTCGAGTTGGTCATTGTGTCTAGGCAGACCGTGTGCCAACGCATGAGAATTTCGAGTCTCTCTGCTGCGGTGAAGTGGATACTCATGGATATTGTCTCGTGCACCTGAGCTAGAGCTCGCCGGACGTCTGATTGGCTAGGAACCCCAACGGCTAGTTCACTGTCGTCAAAGTCGGAGATCAGAGACTGAAGCCCTTCTATGACCACACGCAGTGCGAAGGCGGAGAACTGGTACTCTAGAGGGCGGAAGCTCCCAACCGGTGGGAAGAGGGAGCGGAAAATCGTCCTGAACGAGGACTGATCCGGCTTTTGGGGATGCATATGAGCCAACCATTCATCGGCCGTGCTGGCATCAAAGGCTTCCTCGCTACTTGGGAGGGTGAGTGGGTTTGCAACATGGCGAGAAGAGGCACCATCGCTCGACGTCTGAGCCACGAGCCCATCCAGGACATAGTAGGCTAACAGGGTGCGTTGCTGGATCTCCCGTGCAGACCAGATTCGCCACTGGTGTTCTTTTTCTGCAGCGGGGGCATCGATCAAGGGCAGATTATCCATTGAGTATGGCTCGCTGTCATACATACCACAGTGTCTTGCCCATAAGAACCCCAGCGGATGGAAGACCTGGCTGGTGGTTCGAATTGCTCGGTTCTTGGATAGTGCCCCATATATTTGACCCAGCAGGGCTGTAATCATCAACTGGACGCCCTTGCATGCATCATAGGGGCCGTTATGTGTGATCAGGGACTGCCATGAAGTGGAAATTGCGGTATGCGCTAGGCGCCACAGGGCTTCGCCTTTTGCAACTGAGTCCTTGGGGCCTAGATACAAAGAGCCGATGGCGATGGCATTAAGGAGGAGAGCATGCGTGCATTCTCGGAAAACAAAAGTTGCACGGTGCAAGATTGGGAATGTGGGGATGAAGCGAACGAAAAACATATGGAGGCATTCGTCGAGGAATACCGAGGTGATGGACGTAGCTTTGACGGCGGCGGTAACACTGAATGACTAGGAAATTGAAACGTCAGTTCCGATCGAATCACGGTTCCGCGTGTGTCTTTTTCAAGGTTTGTTTGAGAATGCAATCCTCAACTCACCGAGCTCGTTACCATCTCTGTGACATCTCTCACTGCTTGATGCCCTCCACCGGACGGTATTTCCCCGACAGAAGATCTACGGTCATCGAATATATTCGGAGACCCAAAGTTCATACCATTCATATCTTGCACGACAGGCGGAAATGGCAAGGTACCAATTGGCATCTGCCATTGGTCTGTCGTATCTGAGGACATCAAGGTCTGAAACAAGTTTTCTGAATCAGGCCAGACCAACGCAAAGTCCAATTCTGAGGCGACATTATGCATACTCGCATGATTTCCAGCATTAGTCTCTTCCCAGGAGTGACTTGTTGCTGAAGTTGACGCGGGGTCAGTAGTGGAAGCACTACTCGTATCCCACGAAGGGAGAGAATCTAAAGAAGTAGGCTGTAACGGCAAGTGTACCCCCGGCGAGTCATTCTTTGAATTTATAGCACGAGCATGCAGTTTTTCGTGGCGAGTAAGAGCATCTTGTCGGGCGAAGGGCCTTCGACACTCTTTACAGACATATGGTTTAGATCCCGTATCTAAATCTTCCGGTCAGCTGGGTAGGTAATTCTTTTTGAATTTTGTGCAGGGGTTAAAAAGGATCCGGGGATCTGATAAAATTGGCACATACGGCAACGCTCATGTCTCTATAGGGACCCGTTAGTTATCTGTTATCTCGTATCACTTGGCAATTCCTCTTTCGTGGGGAAGCTGGATTTGAAGCCACCCTTGGAAGTCTACTCACTTTCAAGTGTTCGGCCTTGGAAAATGCTTTTTGACATACTCGACAGATCAGTTTCTTGCCTCCTGTAAGTGCACGCGGTGCTGTCATTATCCCCATTGAGGCCATTTTGGTCGATCGGGAGAAGAAACAGCAAGAAAGTAGATTGTGGAGAAGTGTTTGTGGGGTGTGGTACCCCAGGCCCCGCGTGGACTGCTTATGCGATCACGGAATTATGTTTTTGCCTCCAACTCCAGAGGGCTTAAAGTATCTTCGAAGATTACATGAGACAGAGATCAGGCTCAAATGTGTATTCAATCTATGTGAATAGCATTGAAATAATATCAAGCAACTAAAGAGGTTGTCTTCGAATTCAATTATCCAACCTTGGAGGCGTTCAAGCGTTCAAGCGGAAACAAGGCGTTGTGGCAATATAGCTAAGGAAGTGTGGCTACTACGCCTACGTTATATTCTCAGCTATCCTCTTTCTAGAAAGCATCGCTGATTCATTCTTTAATATAGGGATAGAATAGTCGGCCGCATTTGCGGCCTTGTGATATCTTTTTAGTTGGTCTTTTTGGTTGTCTTCTTAAACGTCTTTTTAAATATCTTTGTTTTGAAAATATTTTTGCTGCTCATCTCAGTTTTATAGATGAACGGCAGAAAAAGGCAGAGAAAGGCTGAATTTTGTGAGATGGACTCGTATTAAAAATGGTATGCCAAGAATTACTATCCCTAATTAGACTAGTCCCCTGTGCCAATAGTAAAAATACCGTGTCAACAGTATGTCCCCCACAAGGGACCACAATAATGCTCAGACCAAGTTCCATCAAATACGTCTCAGGGTTGCGCGGCTTGCAGCAACATTCTGAATGCCGTGCGGATTGGGGTTCCCCAGCTGGAACGGAGAATACAGCGAAATAAATAGCTCGATTCCAGGGAAATTGCGCCAAGACGTCAAACTTCAGAGGCTTTCGGTACTTGGCGCGGGATGAAAGCCGTACTGCACACCAAAAAGCTTCATCGGCTAGCCGTGTTCAAGTGCCATAGCGATACCTTTTGCACGACCCCATGACAGCAATTTATTTAGCGGCATCCTAACTCGCCGGTACCGACACTTTCCAATCAGGAACTGTGGAGAGCCTCCGCATTTCTCTCCATTTTCTCCCCATTTTCGTTCTCTTTCCTCCCCGACGGACCCGCAACGGAGCCGAGAACCCCGGAGAATACCTACCCCAGGCGCAGATGAGGTCTCGCTGAGCGAACGCCGTGGAATTAATGTCTTAGCTATGGACACTCACCCTGGCATTTTTCGCCAGTCCCTCACTGATTTCGCGTCCCAACCCCCACGGAGCTCCAGAAGACGCCAGCTCTGTCACCATTATTGTCTATCCCCGGTGTCCTCAACTGGTTCATCCTGAGACACTGTTTCCTGAAATTATTTCATCCAATACCCCTGGGCATTCCCTCAAACTA